TAAAAAGTTTCATTGTTTCCCAGTACAAAAACGCCGTGAATGTATCTTGACCTAATTGTATTTCGAGTCATTTTTCATTTTTCTATAAAAAAGAATAGTGATATAACTATCCCATGCGTCATTTCCTGCTCGGAAATACTATCTGGTTCTAATCGTAATTGCACTTTCAGTCTATATCACATCGGATTATTTAGATTCTGAATGACCCAACTGCTCTTTGGAACTAATTAACTGAAACATCTCAATCTTCCATCTGTTAATAATACGACATGAAAATAACAATAAAACAAATTATGAATGAAATTGTAACTTTTTCATAGTAATCGGTCATCCTTGTAGATTAATAAAAAAATTGTGTTCAAATCTTCACATCAAATTTCCAAACTGATTCATAATATCGATGGAGAAGATTAGGATATTGACATTCCCAATTGATTTCAGAGGTATCTCTCGAGCCGAAAATACGACGGCTTGGAACTAGTATCCTAAAACATCTTTTTTCACAATATTTGCATAATTCATAGATCACTTATTAGTATTTTATATCTCCTAATTCACAATTGCAACTGTAAATTAGACATGCAGATAAAACATTTCCAGTTTCTTTTGCTGCAATTGAGCATTAGGCACAAAGATTTGTGAAATGAAAACCTGTTTTCGTATGTAAGCTCAGAGCCGTCAAGAGAAGAAGACGTTCTGAGATTGTACACTTACCCTCAAACTTGAATCTCTTATATCAAAGCGTTGTAAATTTCTGGTTGATACAAATATTAAATTAGAATTACAAAATAATGTTCAATTTCTCATTCAGAATTTCGAACTCAGGGTTATCTTGATCAAACAGTTGACTATTATTTTTCAGTTCCTATTTTTCCTTTCAGTTGGGTAATCATCTGAGGGTTGTTTATAGATGTTCAAAAATTCAGACAAAGTTTCAGTTATAATTATTAGTTCAATTCAGTTCAATTCATCCGATTGGAATTATTTCCCTTTGAGCTCATGATTCGAAAAAAACTCTACATCTTTGTCCAATGAATTTGAGAGGATTCCAGTTTTGTCCATTGCTCATGAGTGAACAGAAAATATCATCTGAAGTTGGAATCAATGAGATCCTCCGTCTGTTTTCATGTTCAAAACCAAGGAAATCATCAAAAGTGTTGACACAATTAACTGAGATGTTTATTGTTCCAGCATGCATGAAGACATTATCTCAAATATCCATATCAAATATCAAAATATCATCTCTACATACTACATTGAACTATGACGGTATACTCCGAAGGTTCAAATTCATACATGGAATCGCCTATTTGGAAATCGAGAATTCGTTTTTTCCTTCTTCTGAAAAATTTACTATTTTGCATTTGCGTCATTATTATTCTGGAGCATCGATGTGATAAACTTGAAACCAAGAGCAAATAAAACATAATAATGTCGACGGGATTGGAGCAGTGGATGAGCGCTAGGTCGTGGGTTCTATTTCCAGCCAGAGCATGGAATTCTTCAGATATTCAATTTACGAATTGAGTATTCTGAACTTTCAGAGAATCGGCTGGGGATAGTCCTGCACAGTGGAAAGTGGATGTCAAAAAAAGATAGTGCTCTTGTTTGAAAATATTATCTTTGGTGAAGAGTTTACTTCTTCAAGTCGAGAACTCCATATTCGATTGAAAGAACCCAATCTCCTATATCAAGGAAAATATTTCCTTGATGATTCAACAGAAACCCAAATAACTTGTCTGAAATCAGTTTGAAACATAAGATCGGTGGATTTCATTTCGAGGTGAGAAATGACATGTTCTCTTCTGTATTGCAGCGATATTTTTTGTTCACTAAATTTCATCGGACTTGCTCTTCAAATATTGAAGCCGAATTGACCCACACGTGACCTACCTTCCTCGTTTTTCAGCGATAAGATTTTGGAAGTTTGAGACATAAATTATGTTGGAAGCCAGAATGATGGATGCAGTGTGCCCAACTCTCGCGAGTCGCTCGCTTATTGTCTCAATCATGGAATACTCATACGAATACATTCCGTGATACAATTTTTCCTGGAAATATCCGTCGATTGTCATATTTCAGCTTGCTTTAATTCCTCTCGAAAGTTCTTGTAAACACTGCCATTCGGCGAAATTATTAAGCAGCAAGCTGTCGTAACAATGGCCGAATATTTCTGGCAACATGATATCACTTGTGATTCTACATATAATAGTATAAACAACTTGATCTGAGTTAAAATATCTTGTTCCAATGCAGGGCTTGCATTTTCTTTGAAAGATCTCAACTTTTTCCTAACAAGACACTTGAAAAATCTTTAAGAGAATGGATATTGCTCAAAATGAGAAATCCATTTTTTCTGATTCAACAGTGACATGTTATTGAAATTCACGTTTTACTTGTATTTATTTGAGCAAATGTCAATTAGTTCCTAACAGGGCACTTGAAAATCTTGGAGAGAGTGTTTATCGCTCAAAATGAGAAATCCAATTCCTCTGATTCAACAGGGACATCTTGAAATGTACGTATTACCTGTATTGATTCGAGAATTTATCTTTCATGTAAAAACATCACAAACGGAAAGATTTCCACAAAATTCTTGAACACACAGAATTTCATGGAAATCTTATCGTTTGTGAAGTTTTCACATTTGCCATGAATTTCCAACAAGTAATGACCGTCAATTGTCGATGTCGCTCTCAGCATTTCAAGAAGTCAAGATTATTCCTACAGGAAATATTTATGTTTTGAATAAAATTCGTTATTTGATATAACAAAATGATAGAGTGGGGTTTGTGTCTCGTGTTTGGCGGAGTACTGCGTTTTGTTGTGGTTTGGTGCTATATTCAGAATATACCGGGTGGTCCATTCAAGAATATCCATCACCCTCGATATCTCTCAGAATTATCATTTTACAAAAAATTGACGAAACAGTCGATTTTTATATGGAGTGGGACACCTTTTGATGCGAAATAAACAATCCATACTCGAACCCTCTACCCCCCAGAGCAACCTCTTCAATAAATTGAATAGAGAATGAGGGTCGTGTTGTACACAATTGCAAAGGTTATTCAATTATGAAACTAGCAGTGAAAGGTTTCTTGAATTCAAACAAGTGGTTCTCGAGATATTCGAGTAAGAATGGTTTGTTTCCAAATTGTGACTGAATGATTGTGAATAATATATTATTGAACAGGTTATCACAGATAGACAGTGGTAGAGTCTATTTGAAAATTCCCCTTGTACGTTTGAGAATGTTTCTCTTCATATTACCTGGCATTCAGTTCTTATTCTTCTCTCCAAATCATCGAGGTCAGTATATAGGTTTTGTTTTATAAATTACCCATTTTGAATCACCCCATAGAAAGAAATCATCGGGTGCCAAGTCCAGCAGACGTGCTGTCCATTTTATTGGTCATCTACGGAATTCTATGATGATGGTTATCGAAATCTATTGGCAAATGATATTCATTTCCAACAATAGAATGTCCAGCACGCTCGCCGGACATGGCACCCAATGATTTTTTCTTTGAGGTCATCCGAAATCGGTTATTTGTTAAACGGAATTCACTATGATCTGGACGATAAGTTGGGAAGAATCAGGGTTGACCAGGAAATAACTAGAGAAACATGTCAAATGTACAAAAAGAATTCACAAATAGATTCTACCACTGTCTGGAAGTCAATGAATGGATAACCATTCAATAATTCATTCCGTATATTCAATTACTCGCAATTGGAAAACATACCTTTTGAACTCTGATATCTCAAAAACGACTAGCTGGAATTCAGAAAACTTCACACTGCTAGTTCTGGAATTGAATAAATTTCGCAATGATGAAAACACGACCCTTATTTCAAATTATTGAGGGGTTTGGTCTGGGGAGAAGAGGGTTGAAGTATGGATTATTCATGTTGCGTCAAAAGGTGTCTCCCTCCATATAAAAATCAACCTGTTTCGTTATTTCTTTGTGAAATAATAATTCTGGGAGATATCGAGGGTGGATGGTCTTAAATGGGCCACCAGGTACCTATAAGCGATGGAAAAATGAATATACTAATGAGTGAGCTTTTCCGAGACAGCACATTTCAGGAACTCATGGAATTAATTAAAAATTTGTGGAGTTAGTGATAATAGGTACATAACTACCTACAATATATGAATAGAAAATACCTTGAAATGTGTTGCGTCAGATGTAAAAAAATATCTGCATCATACTCATTATTGAAACCTTATTTGCCTTGACTACAAAAAAAGTATAAAAACGTTCGTGGCAACGTGCTAAGGTCAAATTTAATATCGAGTAGCATCGAACAAGAGTAGGTACTTGGTGGTTTACTTGGTGATATAGGTTCGATGCGAGGTATCAAGAATTGAAATACTTCCATATAGGATCCGCCATCTTCAAATTCAAAATATCTACATGGAAATCATTATCTCTGATCTTGATCGAAAACCCGCAAATACAAATTTTGAATAGATTCGGATCTTTATGAAAAAACTCGTTTGCCATATTGGATCTGCTATCTCGAATTTCCAAAAGTTTGACGACAGGGAACAAAACTCGTCCGCCATTTTGGAGCCGCCATTTCGTTTTTTCGTCGAACAAGAATTTCATGATGCATTGTCACCCGAATTGAGTACAGATGCCAAATTAAATATGAATCGATCCCTTCAAAGTTGGTCAAAATCGAGTTCAAAGGAGTCGGTAACATATATACATACATACATACATACATACACATATACATACACCTATACATACATACATACACATATACATACACCTATACATACATACATACATACGAACAGAAGGAGCTAATAAGAGAGTGTTGAAAATGATTGAATTTATTACTTTAGTCCGTTTCTTGTGTTAAAAACTGTTGTTTTATTATCATCCACCAACTTGGTAATGATGAATGCATTGGTAAGAGGTCTATTATTGCCTCCACGATTCATTTGACTAATCATTTTCCATAATTCGACCACATGTTTCCAGGAATAGGTTACGAAACAGCTTTGGATTTTGCCCGAAGAGGAGCACGAGTGATTCTAGCATGTAGAGACGAACAAAAAGCTGAAGTCGCAAGAGAAAAAATCATTCAGGCAACACAAAACCAAAATGTAGTAGTACGATTGATCGATTTCGCATCGTTGGAATCAGTGAGAGAATTTGCGAAAGAGACGATAAAAACCGAGAAACGTCTGGATATTTTGGTCAATAATGCTGGTGTTGGTGACCTACCAAATGTATTAACTGAAGATGGGTTACAGATATTGATGCAAGTCAATTATTTCGGTCCAGTTCTATTAACTCTGCTGCTCTTAGGTAAATCATCCAATAGACATTTTCTTGTATACAGGGTGTTTCCTGAATTGAGGCAATAAATGCAATGTATGATAGTTGGAAGTTGTAGTTAGGTGGATACGCATGTTTTTCAGAATTGTCTCCAATTAGATTTCTATTTTCTGTCTTATTTTGTCTCATAGAAAATGTTATTTCATTCATTACCTCGATTACGGAAACACCTTGTATATAAGGGTTTTGGAGAGTGAAATTGTCACAGGCAGAGGATTGATGAAATTAACCTCTGGTGCGAACGCACTTCAATCCTTTCCTGCTTCACAATTCCTTGATTTTTGCCTACTTCGATAAACATAACCATGACGTGGCTTAGCCAACACGAAGAGGCCTTAAAGATTTCTCGGCAACCTCCTTCCAGGAAATTTTGATGCCTTTCATTACTTCTTTGAGCGGTTGCCGAGAGTATTATTTTAGTATTTTATTATATTCAGCACCCTACACCATAGAAGTACGAGCTCCACTTGGCAATTCTGACCACACACTCATCTGCACAACCTGCCCATTTTTCATTCCATCAACTGCTCCGGCACCTCCACGTCTCATATGGCATTACAATTCAGGAGACTGGGACGGTCTCCGCATGTTTTCTCCGAGTTTCCTTGGCATAGAGTATGCTTTGACTCTGAGGACCCCTCACAGTGTGCTGCGGAAATATCCGAGATCATCAAGCTCGGAATGGACACTTACATACCGCATTTTTCGAAAAGATCATCACCTTCGAAACCCTGGTTCAACAAAAACTGTTCTAGAACTGTTGCCTTGGAACAAACAGCCTACCATCGCTGGCGCAAAAACCCTAACCTCGCGAACAGAGCAGAATACGTTGATTCCAGGAATAACTGCAGTTAAACAATAGATGCTTCTAAAGAAACATACAATGCCAAGATAAGATCGAAACTCATAGATTGTCCCAATGGCTCCCGTTCGTTTCGGTCCCTTGCTGAAGCGGTCGGAAGAAATTTTACCAATAGTTCATTTCCACCACTGTCCAAATCCGACGGCACATTAGCAACAACATCGCAGGAGGAAGCGAATATTTTTGCAGAGATGTTGGCAGGAAACTTTTCTTCAGATTCCCAAGGAAAAGTGCCGCCAGACATTCCACCCGTTGAGAGTCGAATGCCCGAAATCGTCTTCCGTCAACGCACTATCAGACGAATTTTGCTTGGTCTCAAAACGAATAAGGCTAACGGTCCTGATGGAATTCCACTCATTATCCTCAAAAAATGTGCACCAGAGTTAACACCGATTATCTGCAAGTTGTTTACCGTCTCGTACAGGTCGGGTATTTTTCCATCATGTTGGAAGACAGCTAGAGTCCAACCAATCCCTGAAAAAGGGAACAAGAACCTGCCCAATAACTACAGGCCCATTGCCCTGTTATCAGTGATCTCCAAAGTGATGGAGAAAGCCATCAATATTGAGCTCATCAAATATCTAGAGAGCTCAGGAATCATCAATGATAGACAATACGGCTTTCGCCACCGGAAATCTACTAGAGATCTACTTGCCTACGTGACCCATTTATGGCAAGCTTCATTAGAAAAACACGGAGAATCTCTAGCTGTCGCGTTGGACATATCGAAAGCATTCGACCGTGTTTGGCATGAAGGACTCCTCCACAAACTACCATCATACGGCTTACCACCTCAGCTATGCCATCTCTTATCGAGTTTTCTTTCAGGCAGATCGCTTCACGTGGTGGTGAACTGTGTATCGTCTGATACCATTGGCATCAATTCCGGCGTTCCACAAGGATCAATTTTGGCACCAACTTTATTCCTGCTTCATATCAATGATCTGTTGGGAGTAACAACTTGCCCCATCCACAGCTTTGCAGATGATAGTACCCTCCATACTGCGTTCTCTTCCAGAATTCCCATTTCTTCCCAGGAAACTAAAAACTCACGGCGCAGGCAGGTCAATGCTGTCAATGAAGATCTTGATGAAATCACAGCCTGGGCAACCAACAACCTAGTTGAATTCAACGCCACCAAAACTCAAGCCTTCATTTTCTCTAGAAAGGCGGAACTCAGTATGCCCGATATTGTTATGTCTGGCTCCACCATCCCCACCAAGCCCACCATATCTATGCTCGGTATTACCATCAGCAACACTCTTTCATGCGATAATCATGTCAGATCCATCGCAAAAGCTGCTTTACAAAAACTCGGATTCTTGTTCCGTGCGAAAAGCTACTTTACACCTCAACAGCTCCTCATGATCTACAAAGCGCAGATACGGCCTGTTCTAGAATACTGCTCCCACATAATTATGGGGTTCAGCATCGAAACATACGCTGATGCTCTTAGATTCCATCCAGAGAAGAGCCATTCGCCTGGTGGGTGACGCCACACTCACTCACTCTTTGACATCATTGGAACACCGTAGAAAGGTCGGCGACCTTTCACTTTTCTATCGATACTTCCACGGGAAATGTTCTTCGGAAATCTCTGCTATCATCCCATCACTAGCAATACCAATCAGACGAACTAGACAAGCCCAGTCAGCACATCCTTTCGTTGTCAACCTGGAAAGATGTCGAACAGCACTTCATCAAGATTCCTTCATCTATAAAACGGCTAGGCTCTGGAATTCATTGCCTGTAGAAGTGTTCCCAACAACATATAATCTCCAAGAGTTCAAAAAAAATTCCAATACCTACCTCCTGTCCCTATCCTCCCTAGGAACGCACGATGTGCTCTGAACATTGTAGGGATTCCCTTTCGTGCGCTCCAAGCGATAAAAAAAAATCCAGCTAAGAAGAATTTACCATTTTGTTCCAGCCAGGGAACTCCGTAAGTTGAAGCTCACGGGCTCTAGCGCTTATGAAATCGAGGCATATAACATAGTAGATAGGTATGTGATGGTGATTGATCAACTATTTGCAAGATCAGGTATCAAAACAGATTATTGCCTTCATAAACAATTCCCTGACCCAAAACACTACATTTTATTGTTACATCATTAACATCTTGAAGATCAAATTTTTTTCGGGAAAGTGAAGGAAATGTCTTCTAGGAATATTGAAATCATACCAGTTTTCACCTACCCTCATGAGTACATATGGTTAAGAGGAAGTTACAGAGCGTTGAGGTTCATCAGGCCGATAGGTAGGTACGGGTTTTACGCAATATCTCAGTTTGTATATGTGCCAAAATATATTTTTCTCTCTCAACTTCTTATATCTGATCATGGAAAGGATCATATATCAGGTGAGTCAATAGTGTGTTCTCCTTCGATATTACTGAACCGTCAGACATCTTCCTTACGACCCAAGCTATGAATGTCCATATGCATCCTGAAAATGAATTTTTAGCTAGTTTTTTATTCATTTTTCCTCTATTATTCTAGGTACCTATGAGTTTTTTTATTTTCCTGTAAGATCAGCATTTTTGGTAACAAATGCTTAGGAAATGAAAATATACTGGGTACAGCATCTGGCTTCAATAACTCAGACTAGGAGTCGCTTTATACGGACTGCTTATTTTGCCGCATGACCATGAACATCAAATTCTGATGCAATTTTCATATTCTACGATTCGCATACATTTTGCGGAATTCGTACAAGCATAAACATATCTCTACTGTTCACGAAATCCTAATGAGGAAGCTCGAACTCCAGTCACCCTGTTTATCAATTTGCAGATTTACTGAAAAAGACCCGTCCAAGCCGAATAGTTAATGTTTCGTCACTAGCAGCTAAATGGGCGAGACTGGAACCAGAACATTTGAACCATTGGTCTAAATTACTGATCTACAGCAATAGCAAATTGGGTAATTTGTTGTTCACCATCAAATTAGCATCTGTTTTGAGGAATTCCGGGGTCAGTGTTTTCTCAGTGCACCCAGGAATTGTGAAAACTGAAATCATGAGAACGTTGCCACGTCTCGTTAGAAAAGTGATCGACTTTTTCGCAGGTATATTCATGAAGGTAAGATATCTTGGTATGCTATTCCATAAGGAAACATATTTTTTACGTCGACGGGAGTGGAAGTAAGTTTCTCTGGTAACAAAGGAGGGGCAGAAGTCTCGTATCATTCTCTAGGTAGATAATGTGACTTATTTTCTCGCTGTGAAGTTTATACCAACTTTAAAGTCTCCGCATAGCTCTGCGCCTTTTTTTCGGAACACCCTCATCTGAAGCGAGTATAAGCTGCATGATACAGATACCTAGATCTCACTGGTAGCAAGTTGAGAATCACTGCAGAAGCAGTATCAATAGTTTCTTGGGGTTTTCCCTCGATTTCTTGTTCCATAATCGTTAACCATTTCCAAAGCTGTTTTCATAAATTTCAATTTCAAATTGATATTTGCTATCACCATGGGTTGTCAACAAGGTGCATGTTGTCATGTTACGAATTCCACAAACTATACTACTACTCATTAGGACAAAATACTTTAACCAAATATTCTTTCTTTCTTGATTTTTGTGTTTTCGCTAGCGTAAAATATAGTATATACACCTCAGCACAGAATGCTATTTTTCCCTCGGTGCTTTGTATATCTCGGACTTCGGCCTCGAGCTACAAATCGCACCTTGAAAAAATCTTGCATTTCTGTCCCTTGATGTATAATGTACTATTTTTTTATGTGATGGAAAAAAAGTTTGAAATTCCATCTCTAATGACAGGTTATAAAATGTCACTTTTCATAAATTACTTTTTTCCCACAAGAGAAAAATACATTTTTCCGGGATATATCACATATTTAAATACTGTTGATGAATTTTGTTGTTCTATAGTTCCAAAAAATAAGCCAATAACTTCGTCTCTGAGAAAGTACTGCGAAACCTTTCACCTTCCATTCGACTCCGTGGTTACTCAAAAACTAAACAGTCACTAAATTTGCAATTTTTCAAAACCTATCCATAGAATGGGACTGACAGATATTTTGATTACTCCAAAAGAATGATGGAGATATCTGCAACGCAAGTATCATTCCTGTTGAAAACTTAAAATTTAACGTCGATAATTTTCTGATTTCAATATAATGTAATTAATATCTTCTCTATATTGGTTCGTTCTTTCTCCTGTTACAGAAAGAAACAGTGTATTATAAACAGAAAAATATTAGATATTTTGCTCACGGTTTTTTTTTGTCTCCCTCCGCTGAAGCTAAAACCTTGTACTAGTCCTATCTGTATAATAAATAATCAATTCTACAAGTATTCAATTGATTCTCAACGAGCGGAAGGTTATTGAGTTGAGGACAACGGTTCTTGAGTTTGGAACGAACGAACAGTTATGAATCTTTCAGTGTAGCAGCAGTGTGAAAGGAATACTCTTCAAAGTTTACCCAAGCTTTTGGAAATGTTTATTTCCATCATCAGGAATACTACAATGATTACGAAGTGTAAATACATTGGAAAACACTATGCCTCTTATGTTTCAAGAAGGTCGTTACATCATTGTATTGATGTCATCACAGGAAAATAGTTTTGAGAAATAATTCTAATAGATATCAGCTGTGACAACCACTTGAATAGCTGATGATGAAAATATGATAATATGATAATGATATTTTGGAATATTTGGTACACGAAAAGGTCGAGCCCAAGAAATTCAGAACCGTAATGGAAAATCTTCCAGCTATCTAACAGATAGGAAACAAGTAGTAAAACTCCAAGGAAATAAATCGCACATGGAGAATAACACAACAGGTGTACCACAAGGCTCGGTTTTGGGTCCTATTCTTTTTCTGCTTTATCTGAATGATCTGGTAACCGTTGACATCAAAGGGAAGTTCACATTTTTGGCAGACGATACCCCCATCCTTTGGCGTGGGACAAATGAAGATAATCTCAGAGAAAACATAACTTTTGATCTCTATAAAATTAAGCAGTGGTGTGATTCAAACTGCTTATGTTTCAACACAAATAAAACAAACATAGTCTGCTTCAAGTTCAGTTCCGACGACTTACTTATAGAAAATCACGCTATTGTGAACAAAACGCACACAAAGTTTTTAGGGGTTCTAGGTTTTTAGATGAAAAATTAAAATTTGATAAGCATGTAGAAAACTTATGCAAAAAAATAGCATCTGGCTGTTATGCAGTTCGAGTTGTTTCAAATGAACTCAATCAATCCTCTGCCAGAATTGTGTACTTTTCCTTGATCGAGGCCCATTTGAGATATGGAATTGCCTTTTGGGGCTTATGTAGTCAGCAACTACTAAATTCAGTATTCGTTTTGCAAAAAGGGCTGTCAGGTACATTTGTAAGGCAAAATCACAAGATCACTGCAAACCACTTTTCATCAGACAGAAAATTCTAACTTCACCTTGTATGTTCCTTTTGGAAACCGTGTGTCTAATACACAAAAAGTATTCGAATACAGCAGTAAATAATGACAGACGATACCATACAAGCGGAAGTCGGGATCTACCCCTGCCAATACCAAAATTAGCAATTACAAAATTTTCTTTGATATATGAGAGCAAGAAAATATATAACCACCTCCTAGAAAAATAACAAATTTGTAAAAGTTCAGGAAATCAGTTAAAGAGGTATTTCTGCAGAAAGCCTACTATGACTTGAAGGAATATTACACTGATGAATTTTAAAGCTTAGTACTTCCGTTGCTTACTTATCTGGATTGCGTTATTTATTTATTTATCTGTAATGTTTGATATATTTTCTGTAATGTTTCATTCATTTTTATATTTATATTTATATTCGTTTGGGTACACATGTTTTAACTCTTTAATGATTTTTCATTATATTTCATATAATTTTATATTTTTAATATTTCTGACTTTATAAAATTACACTTACTTTGTCAATAAGAATTACTTCTTGGACAATAAAGCATGATTGATTGATTGATTGATTGATCAAAACGTGAGTTCAAAAAATGAAAAAACTTCTTCGATTCAGAGAAGTGAGTCTAGATTTTCGAATGGGCCACCCTATACATTACTGCATTTACTGATCCTAAATCGACTACTTGTCAATAGTCAATGCAATAGTGTATTAGTTCGTGGAAACAGTATACATATAACTAA